TGCCTACCTTTCTAGGAAATAAGCGTGAGTTTATAATAATAATAATAGATAGTGATGTTCAGAAGATAGCCGTGATCGTATGCCACTTTGCCTTGGGGGTCACTTTTGTTTTGCTGTTGTAGGGTAAACCCTTAAAAAAATACATGGAAGTATTTTTAGACATCTAATAAAGCCTTTGTAACACTGATGAACTGCAATGAAGAAACTTCATGTCATAGTAAAAAAAAACTTCGTCACTTGTACAAGTTTCTGTTTAGGAAATATTTGAAATACTATTGTAATAACAATCATAAGCCATAATCTTATTATACAAATGTATAACGTGATTATGGCTTATGATTGACATGGCTTATGATTGTTATGTTATGTTAGAAACATGTTGCGAGTGTGAAATCACACTCGCAACATGTTTCGAGATGCATATGAGAAGTTACAGTGATTGTAATTGGGAGTCTTTCGTGGAAATGAACCGAGTGAATAACAAAGGCATATAAAAATATTATCAACAGTTTACACACCAGATGCAATCATAGCTGCATCACGTGCAGTTGACGCTGTCAATTGGGTTATACAGAATTCCAACTCGATAACTTTAGTCGTGCAGCCCTAGATCTACTTTATTATTAGTTGTTGAAAATAATCATTCATTTATTGTTATAACTTGCTAGAAAATAAATATCAACACTCTCAAATACTGATAGATGTTTTTTTTTTGGTAAATTTGGTAAATTGGGATAAAATAACAATTATATATATATAAAAAATAGGTTAACCCTGTAGGCCAACCCTGAAACTTCCCGCTATTTTCGAGTTCAAAACACTCGAAAATATATGGGATTTGACGCGACTTTTTGAGTAAAAAGACGGTTTGTTTCGATTTCTTTCGACAATGATTTCTCGCAAACGAATCAACCGATTTTAATCCTGTTTGCGGCAATCGACGTGTTTTTACAAGGCCAAGAGCTGGTTAAAATTTAAAATCGATCGGTGAAGCCGTTTCGTAGTTATTCCAAAAAAAACTGTTTTTTTCGATTTCTTTCGACAACGATTTCTCACAAACGAATCAACCGATTTTGACCCGATTTACGGCAATCGAGGTGTTTTTAATAGGTTAAGAGCTGATTAGATTTTGGAATTGATCGGTCAAGCTATTTTAGAGTTATTTAGAAAAAACTACTTTAAAAAAAAATATTCTTAGTTTTTTGAAAATTTCTCAAAATCTACCAAGCCAAATCGACACAAACTTTCAGGAAATCTAAGTTTGGTAAAAATCTTTGGAACGCCGTATAGTAGGCTCGATTCGGTCAAGCCGTTTAAAAGTTATAAGAGGTTTACATCCATCCACACATACACACACACATCCACACAGACATACGGACATCATCTCAGAGGATGATCAAGAAAGCTTGCTAGACCCTCAGAACGTTGAGATCTGATGAAAACTCGATTTTTGCAAAATGGGGTGAAACCAATAACTTCCCGAAAATTTTAGAAAATTTTCAATTTTCTTAGCGGGAAGTTAAAAACCTTTTTTTGCATATATCAACTTAGTGTGCGCTTGTAAATGTAAGAAATGTTATATTTATTTTAGGATAACTGTAATTTTGTATCACACCTGCACCGATACGACATAGAAAAAAACATGCAATCACACAGACGATTAAATTAGATTAAAACGGATGCTTTTGGAAACGGAACTGTGAAAATCACGCATACGTCAATCGCTGTCGGTAGTATACGGTAGGCTTAAATATTGGACGAGGTCGCGTTGGCGAAACCAACGCCGGTAGACAGTTCTAACACCCATTGTTAACTAACTTGGGAAGGTTACGAAAACAGACACGTGTGATTTGAGCTCAATGAATGCCGCTTGAGCACGACGCGGGTTATTTGGATTAACTCGCCGAGAACGGACGGGGTTTAAGGTCTGAGTGTTGCGAAATGACCGAGTAAGATCGGAGGCTCTAGTATCAATGTTACATTACATAATGTAACATTGATATACTATACAGACAGGCGAGTCTTATTTCCTAATGTACCAGCGTACTGATTGTGCATATATAAGTATAATTATTACAGTTTTAAAAGAGCATTTGTTTTGTCATACTTTTATATACATTCAAATAAATGCTGAAACAGAATTAACAACTAGCTTTTTGTGTATATTGATAGTTGATTGATCGTGGCTTCACAATCACGGGTACATAATATTTTCTTCTCTTATTATATATTTGTCTTTCATTAGTTATTAGCAGCTATCTTATCTTTGTCCCAATTTATATAAAGATTTCAATTTTGATAATTTTCCTTCGATTTTTGTCATGTTGTCAATTCCGGCCCTCTTTAAATATTATCTCCATTACTGCTCTCGGCTCGATTCCAGTTTTACTCACAATTAGAATCTCGTTTCCCGTTTCGTTTCTGATTCGATTTCAATAGCGTTATAACATTACATTTTGGTCAAACGTAGGTACTCGGTGTGAAAATTAATTTCGATAAAAGAAAATAGTGAAACTGACAAAGTTTTAGTTGTATACAACAGCGTTTTGTGCAAAAATATGTGCACTTTGTATATAAAATTTTAGTTTGGTTGGTGTTTGAATGGAATAAAAATAATAAGAGTATTATTTCATTTATATATAGCAAGTAGAGTTATTGGAGATTCTAAGAGAATTATAAATAAAAACAATGTTAAAAACATCTCAATTAGATAAGTTATTTCTTTAATTGGATTATTTTATTATTTTCCAAGCTTTAGCTTTTAAAGTTTTATCCTCTTTGAAATTGATTTTTAAAAAACGCTGATGTCATCCAATTGAAAGTCTCAATCAGATTTTTAATATTTTTAACTTCATTTTATTAGGAATCTCTATTACTTTTTACTGATTTAAAGTTGATTTTTCTGAAAGGCTGGAGTAATATACGAAAGCTTAAACAACTTTCCATTTTGCAAATTTCCAATAATCTTCAATTTATAAACAATCCTCTAGTTCTCAATTTACATTTTGATGCACAGAGTTTCCAAGACAAGTCAACCTTAGGTATGATTGAGCGTTTTATTACAACTTATGATGTTTTTTCTCAAAATCATTTAAGGTATCCTTGAAACATTTTAAGTTCCTTTTAAAAAATAGTTGTATCACGTCGTTTTTAATTTGTTACTGAGAAGCTATAGTACATTTTGTTGCCACTACAGACTGATGGAGTTTCAAAAGTACCTCACCCCTCATTTACCTTAGAAAATAGGTTTCCTAAAATGTTTTCTTGGCGATCTTGTATGTTACTATTCACATGCTATTCGCTAATCTTAGCGACTTCGACTCACCGACGTAATGCAAAGGTTTTTATTTATTTTATGTGTATTTAATTTTGAAATATTCTCTATTGTATATGTGTACAAATTTAGTAAGTATTGTTTTTATAATACTATATTCAATTATGCTAGACTAATATAATATAAAAATCTACAGTAATAAAATTCTACATATATAGTAACAAATACACATTAAGGAAGGAAATATGAACTTGTTATTCAATAACACCAGACTCGGATATTAGCAGAGGATTTTGAAAAAAAAAACAAAACCTTTAATTTTTGCATTATATTGCGTCGCGGATTTCCAAACGTGCTTATTAAAACCCAACAATAAGGAAACGACACCTCGATTTCGGCCGCACACCGATGTTAGAGCTTGTATGTATATCGGGTAGCGTTTAATTGCAACTCAATTAAACATAATTACCGTCGAGCTTCCTCGACGCGCGCGCCGACGTCGCTGTGTTTCGTTACGTCGCGCGTCTCGGGCCTTCCGTGGACGACTTCGTACAGTGCATAAACGGAATAGGTTTTTATAAGTGAATATTTGCATCGTATACAACGATCTTTGTCGATTATACCGATACAAACCGAAATAATATATATATATACATGTAACTAAAATATAAAATATGTGTATATATTACATTTGTAGCGTACACATATAGAGTAAAAATGATGTGATTTTTATAGAATAGGGTTTCTAAAAAAAATATATCTTCTTTTTTAATTGTTATGTTATAATTATTTTGAAAATATTGAGTTTTCTGCAATAGCCCGGTTTAAATATTTATTCTTTGTTTTTTGGAAGGTCCCGAGTAATAAATACGACTAATTTATTAGTTACTATAGTAACTTAGTGATATCTGCCAGATACTTTTTGTGCTTTTTTAAACGGTAAAAGTAATTTATTGTAGTTGTAAAAAATACATTTTGGCTAGGATTAAAGATTAATCCTAGTCAAAATTTTTGGCTAAGATAGCCAAAATCTATTTTTATTTTGTATAAAAGATATATTAGGTATAAAACTGTATAAAAGATATATTTGTATAAAAGATATATTAGGTAAAGCGATGAGCTATTTTTAGTACCCATGAACAAATTTGAATCACATTAAAAAATTTGTAAGTAAAATGGTTGTATTGGTGGTACAGAACGCTCGCCATGCGAGTTAGTCTCGGACTTCGCCGGTTTTTTTTAATTTAACTTCAGAGCGTCGCATAATGGTTGAGAAATTATGTGACGATTTACGACTGTAAGTATATCGACCTTAAAAATATTTGAATGGAAGTAAATTCATAGAAAATATAAAGCACTGCGCGTAGCTTCCGATGAACGTGTGTAGTTTATTGTTATTTATTATTTCTTTTTAGTATATTAGTACATAAAGTGTCGCAATTTTGAATTAGCATATCACGACGCTTTGTTGTGTCGATAAAAATCTATGGATCCTTAACACAAGTACATAAGAGGCACGATTAAACTACCCAGATAAGCGAACACGTTCGAAGTATTTTCTTGTTAAGGTTATTTTTCATGACGTCAATATCGTTGAAATGAAGTTCCTTATTGCTGGTTACACTCGGGCGTTCGGCGGATGGGAGCTACATGAAAAAAAGTGTAACCGCAATGAAAAATGCTGACTGTTGCAGCTTTAGTTACCATTTTTATAAATTTGTTTGCCAACGTCTATACAGCACTGAATACAGCGGTTTTTGTCTGATCACCACAGTTAAGCAGTGTCGGGCGAGGTCAGTACTTGGTTTGGTGACCGCCTGGGAATATCGCTTGATGTTGTTTTTTTTTTTTGTGTTGCATTATTTATATAGTAATTTATATTAAAATATTAATTACAATTTTTATTATAATAATTCATATCATTCTTTCATTGTGTTTGTTGTATTTTTCGTTTCTTTATTTTCAAATAAAGAAACGAAATATTTCATTATTCTTGCATATAATGTATAATTCCCTTTTCTTTCTAAAATATTAAATGAAAGTCTTGGACTGTTTCGGTTCTAGATAGTACTCAATTTTAAAATCTTGATAAGTAAATATTTATACAAATATGTGAAAGTGTATCTATTATGAATTTCATTATTATATAATTGTGCGAATTGACGAACTTAACAAGGTATTTATTTAATAAATAAAAGAAATGGCGCTATTTAATGCTTTTTCTTAAAATTTTAATAATTATTAAAAAAATGTTTCTTTACGACTTACAAAAAATTCTTACCATTTATTCACTTATATTATTATTATTTATTTAATTACTCTCAAACGTTCTATTTAATTTCATTGTTGTTATTCTATTCATAAAATACATTTACATATAGAGAAAGGAAATTTTTGATAATGAACGTAATTATGAATTAAAAAATATATGTATATATATATATATATTAACAGCGGACTAACTCATTCTTACAATTCGCAAAGGCTATAGCGTAAGAGCACGTGATTAAGTTCTCTTGTGAAATATCAGCCTCTTCTCGCTCAAACCGTTATAGAAAAGACATCAACGAGTCATTTATCTGGTTGCGAAACGTTAACGGACGGAATCGAATTGATTTAATCGATTTATTGTTTGGCAATTAGAAGCGATACCTCGCTTTAAATTTAGCCGCCTCTTTATTTTTCGGATATAATCCCGATTTTTGCAAGGCGCAACTTTAAATTTAGAATGAGCGTAGAAGACGGAAATAAAATTTAATTATAAATGATATAATAAAAATGTTATTGTATTGATATTTATCGTAATGTTATATAGATAAATATTTATTGTGTAATTTTTTTTTTCGGTCGCCGTAACCGTCGGTCGCTGAAGTTATCCAAGATTGGACTACGTAAGCGAACGACAACACCGGCGAATTTCAGGTTACCCAAAAACTTGACGTCTCAATGGATTCTATTTTTTGGCCGTCTGGGAGACAGCACGAGCAACCAGGATGTGACGGTCCATCGATGATCTAATTTCTAAATCGTTCCGCTGGCGAGGTATCAGCAAAAACTTGGAGCAAAACCCGTAATGCGATAACGCGTGTATCGCTCGATGACCTCAACGCGGACACCGGGCGGCCTTTGCCATATACACATATACATCCTGAATGCTTCTTTAATGCGGGCTACGTTTATTTGCGAATGTTAGTCTGCTCATGGATGCGGTACATACGATTTTAATATATTCATTCACACACCGATCGTATGGAAATCAATAAATGAATAAACAATATTTCACATTGATAAGGAATGCATATTATTAATGTGTATTTTGATTGTTTGTATATTACTAGAGCTCATTAAAAATTAAACTTGATTATTCCGGAAGACACATTGAATAAAACCTTGATTTAATTTTGGCCCACGTTAATGGATCAAAGCTTAATTTCATGAATGTTACGTCATTGTTCGAATTAAATTATTAAATGTTTATTTGTAACTCTTTAAAATACTCCATTCAAAAGATGTTAGACAATACTTGTGGATATGAAATTATAATAATATTCGAATCTATAATAATAATATAACAGAATAATCTATAATATTTGAGACTATCCCTCGATTTTCCTGAGATTCCATCATCAGATCCTGTCTTATGATTATAAGACCACCTTAAGACCACCTCTCGAACAAAATAAAAAATTTAAATAGGTCCACAGTTCTTGAAATCATCGCTGAATACATATAAAAAATACGTACAGACGAATATAGAACCTCCTCCTTTTAAGTCTATTAAAATGCTTAAACTTTTGCAATATATTTCTGTATAAATAAACAATCCAATATCAACACAATGTTTACACAAATTAAATGTCTGCATATATATACATATATATATATATATATATATATATATATATATATATATATATATATATATATATAAATATTTGGACAATACCAGTCCTAAATCAAGTTTAAGAAAAAATAATTTTATAAATAACAGATTGATAAAGCCAAAGAAATTTATATATATAATATAATAACTTTATACAAATGTTGAAACCGCGAATGAAAATAAGAGTAAAATCAAAGTGATGTGAAAATGCCATGCAATGTAGGAGGCAAGAGAGCGGAACAAGTGAAAGATTTTGGGTATCTGAATTGTTTTTGATTACGAATGATGATAAGCATGATGTAGAACTCGAAAGGAGAGTAAAGGCGGGAAAAAATAAAACTAAGCTCTTGCGCTCTGTTGTGGATACCAGAAGTAATTGGCGCCAAGCGCGAACAATTAACTGTCCATTGACTATCCATCTGGTTTTAATGTTTATAATGTTTACTAATAAATGATAAATGTGGCAGATGAAATATTAAAGCAAAATCATCGCGTTAAATGTGCGATCCTTACGTAGAGCAAATGAAGTGTTTTTGACAAATAGATTTAAGAATACTGACATGTAAAACGGTTGTGGTTTGAAGAAATTGCATTAAGGAAAGTGAAAGGTTTGTTGAGATTTTTGGCCCTTTGACAATGAGTTAGATAAAGAAAGGTTTAATAACAGTATATTAGAGAAATATAGAGTAAATTTATGTGATGGAAGAATTGACACATTAATTACCTTATGAATACTACACTGCTTGCGTGAGTACAATAAACTTCTGTGGAGCGATTGATGAACGTTAGTGAAGCATAAAATTGTATGAAAACGATTAGCGAATTAAATGGGGTACTATTTTATAAACATTTTTTTTTTATGGAAATAACGTTCTTGTTTGTGTTCTTTTATGCATAGAAAAATAAAAAGGAAATTTATCGGAAAGTCACGTAAGATTAAACAGGAAGAATTAAGAGTGTAACTACCAAAAAAAATTCTTTCGTAAACTGAATGAACGGTTTCCGAGGTTCTATTTTCTTACCAAACATTCTTTTATTTATTCAATGGGTACACCAACAATAAACACATGCGAAATTTTACACTTCACGTTATGAATTTAATTAAGTCAAAAGTCATATTCAAAAACAAATATTCGAAATATAAAATAATTTTAAGTAACTTCAAAAATAATGAGTTGTTAACAGTAGCAGATTTATTCAAATTTTATGTTAAGTGCTAATATGGCGAGTTTTATGACTACAATGGCCATAATATTAACAATAAAAATACCTATGTTTTATACCTAATGTTAAGCAATTTTGCATATAATTTTATAACTATTATGTATAGTATTATTACATAACACTACACATAAAACCTATTATTTGTTTTATAATCAAGGTTGGCATTAATTAGGGTAATTTATGACCTAGGAAAAGCCTTGTGTTGCAACAGTCACTGAATTCCTTATTGGAATACAAAAATTTGCAGTGAAACGTTCAATTCTTTAAAGATATGATCATCACGAACGTACAATACAGTGATACATACATTCATACATGATGATACATTCGTATGAATATGAAATACAATGCACATATACCGATATGTTTTTAATTAGATCACATTAAAAATACGTTAAAAGGAAACTTCCCAAAGAAAGAAAAAATTAAAAGGTTTTGTATTAATTTGACATATACTTCATGACTGGTTTTAGATTCATAACTTTAAGTGAAAGTAATCATTAACTCCTTTATCTAAATTTTCTTTTCCGAAACTAACTCTTCGACTGACGATTGAAGAAACAATAAACGCCTACAGGCAAGCATATGTTTTTCACAATAAATTATTATCTTTATTATTAAAAAGTAAATCATACTTATATTTATCATAATTATAATTTCAATAATAATAATAGTAATGCGTAATTTATAAAATATGTGAGGTAGAAGATAGAGTTACATTGGTGTGATGGACCGGGCGCATGCGTATGCAACGCTTAACGCCCAGTTTTTGGTTTTGCTAGGTAGAGCGATGTTCTGTTGCGTTTGGATCCTCTTCCTCTGTGATGTGGAACAAAGTGCGTACCATGCCAGTGCTGCATAAGTTAGCCGAGAATGGATGTAATCTTTGTACAGGGCAACTGTGGTTAAGAGTGAAAAGTGCAATCGGAGTACTGAGCGTAGCACGCTCCGCGCGGCTCTGCTCTGGTTAATGTCATGCTCCACCTGAGCGGCCATGCGTATGAAGCGATCGATCTGAACGCACAGATATCGCACCCTGGTCTACCATTCCACCTCCTATTCTCAGAGTATCAGCTTCGGTGGCATGATACGCTGCTAGTCGGTCAGTAGGGCGGTCATTTTCGTCACCTTGACGGCGACTCTTCATTTGTTCAGCTAGTCCGGTAATAGGTCCCTCTGCAGCTTCACCACTGCGAGGTCAGCCCAACGAAACGATGCCAGATATGCGTTGTCATCCTCATACAGTGCGAACACTACGTTTTCCTTCCAGTCCTGTAGTTGGCCCGTAAGAGTGGGAATGTCGTCCGTGAATGCCGCGTAAAGACACGGTGATAGGTAGTTGCCTTGTAGTGCTCCGACGCGAATTGGTCGTGGATCTGAAGTTGCGTCTTTGACTGCAACAAAGAAGCTGTGGCCCTCCAGGAACGACGCCACTGTCAGCACCAGCGCAAACGAAATTTGGGTGTTCACTAATTAGTTTGTACAGCAATCCGAGGTGCAACACTCAACGTCTTCTCGATATCGAGAAAGATTCCAACGGTGCGACGTCCACGGTTGTGCTCAAAGGCCATATAGTGAAGAACTCGTGTTAGCTGGAGCGTAGTTAAGCGTATAGCAGTATAATACGCTCAAACAGCTTGGCAATGTGGGACAGTAGCGTGATCGGCCGTTGGCTTGATGCGAGTCGGGGATCTTTTCCTGTCTTCGGTGGCAAGGATGCGGT